TGAGAGGGTAGGCCAGGCTCTTATGGCTTGCTACCTAAAAATTGCACCCGTCCGAGCGATGCCAACCTCCTCCTCCTCCTCCTCATCCTCCTCCTCATCATCCTCCTCCGCCTCCGCCTCCTCCTCCTGTCCCTCCTCCTCCTCCTCCCCTCCTCCTTCTACTCCTCCTCCTCCTCCTCCTCCTCCTCCTCCTCCTCCTCCTCCTCCTCCTCGTCCTCCTCCACCTCCACCTTCTCCCCTCCTCCTCCTCCTCCTCCTCCTCCTCCTCCTCCGCCTCGCTCCTCCTCCTCCCTCCTCTCCCTCCTCCTTATCCCTCCTCTCCCAAAAGCTCGTCTCAACATCCTCACTCCTGCCTCCTCGACGTCCTCACTCCTCTCCTCACTCCTCCTCCGCCTCCTCCTCCTCCTCCTCCTCCTCCTCCTCCTCCCTCCGCCTCCTCCTCCTCCTCTCCTCTCCTCCTCCCTGCCTCCTCCTCCTCCCCTCCTCCTCCTCTCCCCTCCTCCTCCCTCATCTCATCTCATCATCTCATCATCATCATCATCATCATCATCATCATCATCAGCATCATCATCATCAGTTACATCTCATCATCATCATCATCATTCATCATCATCAGCATCATCATCATCATCATCATCATCATCAGCAGCATCAGCTCAGCATCACTCAGCATCATCAGCATCAAAAAAATCCCCAAAATCCCATCCCCCTCATCATCAGCAATCATCATCATCATCAGCTCATCATCTCATCATATCATCTCATCATCATCAGCACCAGCATCATCATATCTCATCATCATCATCATCTCACATCATCAGCAGCAATCAGCATCATCACATCATCATCATCAGAATCATCATCATCATCACATCATCGCATCAGCAGCAGCATCATCATCATATCATCATCAGCATCATCATCATCAGCATCATCATCATCATCATCATCAGCATCATCATCATCATCATCATCATCATCATCACCACCACCACCACCACCATCATCATCATCATCATCATCATCATCATCAGCAGCAGCAGCAGCAGCAGCAGCATCATCATCATCATCATCATCAATAATCATCATCCTCATCATCATCAGCATCATCATCATCACAATCACAATCAGCAGCATCAGCATCATCATCATCATCATCATCCTCAGCAGCAACAGCAGCATCATCATCAGTATCATCATCATCATCATCATCATCCGCATATTCATCACCATCATCATCATCATCATAATCGTCATCATCATCATCATCATCATCATCATCAGCATCATCATCATCAGCATATTCATCACCATCATCATCATCATCATCATCATCATCATAATCGTCATCCTCCTCATCATCATCATCATCATCATCATCATCATCATCATCATCATTAGCAGCATCATCATCATCATGATCATCATCCCAGAAATCCGCGTGGAGCACCATATGCCGTTTTTCTCCTTCGATCCTCCTCGTTCGGGGATCTACTTATCCGGGTCAATGCAAACACGGGTCAGGCAGACCTTGCAGGATCCTACAGGATTCTGCACGCCAACCCATGAACCCCCGTCTCAAGGCTCCCGACTCGTGCTCCCTCGCTCATGCTGAAGTGATGTAAGACTCGGGTTCCGGGAACTCGGGTTGGCCTCGCGAGGCCGTGAAGAGAATGACGAGACCCAGTCTGTGAAAGCTGACGCGAGCTCCCGCTGCAGACATCTCACGAAAGCTGGACCGTCAAGATCCAGGACGGGCTCGCCAAAAGCGTCGTCAAACCCGAATTCCGGTGAACTCGAGTCGCACGTCTCCCTCGCTCCTGCGCGGAATACCCGCGGGTGCGAGGCTTGCAAGACAGCCCACGCGAGGGCGAGCTCCGTTCGGCATCCGCTTCCGGCAGAGCTCTCGTGAGGCAGCCCCGTGCCGCCCAGGGCCAGGTCAGCGAGATCCCAACCAAATCCTCGTCCTCCTCCTGGGGGATCTGAACGCCCGAAGTAGGAACGGAAAACACGGGTACCATGCCCAACAGCAAATGTTTTCCGAAACCGACCGCGGCCGCTGTCGGGCAGGCGGGCTCCTGTCTCAAGTGGACAACGGCCGCGGCGACATCGACAGCGAATATGCTCGGAATGAACCAGAACGGCTGTTGGACCCTGTACGTCAGGTTCGTGTCGTGCCGACTCCGGCGTTAGTTCCTGACACCACGGGGATCGTTCAACCTTGAACAGTCGGCCACTTACGAAACGACGAAATCGTTCCACATCGAACGATTCTGGGTCGCCCGCGGCGTTCAAAGTTGAACCCCGCTGGCGGGGTCGCCGCCGGTCGACACGACACGAACCTACTGCACCCATTGTATCCATACCAACTTCGATCGTCCCGAGGAGAGCGCTCGACCCCACCCACAACCTCGGATACTGGGAGCGGCATACCACTGCGGCAAAAGCCGCTTCGGTGAACCCCTGGGCAGTTGGCCCAGCCCTGCCTCAATAGGGCCAAGGAGGGGCAAAGAGCACCTTGCCCGCACTGCCGTGGGGAAATGCCCCCTGGGCATGCTGTCTTCGAACCGCGGGAGCAGGAAGTGCTGGCAGTCGGGGGCGCTGGCTCGCCAGGCCACCAAGGCAAGTTGTCCTCCCAACCGTTTGCGGATTCTCCTCGCCACCCTCCGTCCGGAGGGGGGGGGAAAACGGGAGGGCCTTTCAGCCGCGGCCGAAGGCACCACGAGCTCATCAATCAGTTGCCTTGTCTCCGTGTTCTTCAGAAGAGAAACGCCATAAACATGCAACGATTGGCACTCCGCGCGCCTAGAGTCTATGTTTATGGCGTTTTTTTCTTCTTCGAATATCCTCCTCTGTACGCTGTGCTTGGCCAAAATGCCCAAAACGTTCTCCTCGTCCTCGTCCTCGTACTCCTCCACGTTCTCCTCTCGCTATCCTCCTCCTCCTCCTCCTCCTCCTCCTTCTCCTCCTCCTCCTCTTCCTCCTCCTCCTCCTCCTCCTCCTCCTCCTCTTCCTCCTCCTCCTCCTCTTCCTCCTCCTCCACCTCCTCCTCCCAGGGGGGGCCGAGTGAAGGGGAGGGACGAGGCCGCCGTCCGGGAGGAGGAGGAGGGGAGGATGAGGAGGAGGAGGAGGAGGAGGAGGAGGAGGCGACAAGCAAGCGGCAAGCGAGCGAGCGCGCGAGGGGACGTGGCAGTACGACGAGGAGGGAGGAGGAGGGCGAGGAGAAGGAAGGCGAGACGGAGTGGATCGAGAAGGAGGAGGAGGACGAGGACGAGGAGGAGGAGGAGGAGGAGGAGGACGAGGAGGAGGAGGACGAGGACGAGGAGGAGGAAGACGACGAGGAAGTGGATCGAGGAGGAGGACGAGGAGGATGAGGACGGGGATAGAGAAACAAACATTATGCCAACGGAGTTCCCCACGTAAGGATGTTACGGGGTTGGCGGGGTCACGAGGGCACAAATATTGTCATGGAAGGGCCGAGGGAGGCGAGGAGGGGAAGCAGCATGGGAGGAGGATGGATGTGCAGGACGCGGTCAAAGGAGACCGCGCTCGGCAGCATTAACCTCAGCAGTGCAGAATGCGGGCGGGGCCTGCCTGGAGGGGTGGGAGGGGCACGAAACCTTGCAAATAGTATGGTTTTAGGATACCCTCCTCGCTCAGGCGGGGCCTCCCTAGAGGGGTGGGAGGGGCACGAAACCTCGAAAAATGATATGGTTTTGGGATACCCTCCTCGCTCAAGCGGAGCCTCCCTGGAGGGGTGGGAGGGGCACGAAACCTTGTAAATAGTATGGTTTGGGGATACCCCTCTCGCTCAGGCAGGGCCTCCCTGGAGGGGTGGGAGGGGCACGAAACCCTGCAAATAGTATGGTTTGGGATACCCTCCTCGCTCGGGCGGGGACCCCCTGGAGGAGTGGGAGGGGCACGAAACCTTGTAAATAGTATGGTTTGGGGATACCCTCCTCGCTCAGGCGGGGCCTCCCTGGAGGGGTGGGAGGGGCACGACACCTTGTAAATAGTATGGTTTGGGAATACCCTCCTCGCTCGGGCGGGACCTCCCTGGATGACTGGGAGGGGCACGAAACCATGTAAATAGTATGGCTTGGGAATACCCTCCTCGCTCGGGCGGGGCCTCACCAGCTGGGTGGGAGGGGCACAAAACCTGATCAGCAGTATGGTTTGCGAATACCCTGCTCGCTCTGGCGGGGCCTCCCTGGAGGGGTGGGAGGGGCACGAAACCTGGTATCTAGTATGGTTTGTGAATACGGTAGGTATATGTAGATATGTATGACGATATGGTGTGTTATGATACGTATGGTATGGTAGGGGATGGCAGGCAATACGATAGGTATGGTATGGAAGGTATGGTAGAGTATAATACGTATGGAATGCTAAGAGATGGTATGGTATGGTATAGTGCGTGATAGTATAGTACGTATGGGATTGGTAGGGTATGGCAGTCAGAGTATGGTATGGGTAAAGGAAGCGGAGAAGGAGGAGAGGACGGAGAAGGAGAGGGTGGTCAAGGAAAACAAGAACCCCACTCAGGATGTGTGGGAAAACAGAAACAGAAACTTTTGGGGGTCCGCGCGGACTTCTCGCATCTGCGCTGGACCCGCGCGCCAGGGGCGGCGCCGGAGGCGCCCCCGGGAGGGGGCCCAGCGCAGATCCACGAAGTCCGCGCGGAGCGCCACAAGTTTATGTTAACGCAGCTGTTTGTTCTTCGGGGATGGACAGACCTCCCTTTAGTAAAACGTGGTTTAGTGACAACGACCTCGGGCCCAAACCTGGCGTGCGCCAGCCTGGAAAATAACGGCCACGGCGCCATCTCGAGAACCGAAAACGGACAATTCACTAATCGACGTGTCACTGTTGGGGGTTCTGTCCAGCCCCGAGTTCTTCGCGAGCAGGGAAACGAGCAGAACGAGGTCGAGGAGGAGGGCGAGGCACGAGCGAGCGCGGAGCGAGCGAGTGGCGGGCGGGCCCGCGCCGCCGGGGGGCGCCTTCACGTAGCACTGGGACCCGACGGCGCGACAGCACTGGGTGTCGGAGCAGTCCTTCGGCGGTGGACAATCCTCCCTGTAGTAAACCACCCTTTAGAGAAAACGGCCTGGGACCGCAACCGACGGGCCCGGACCCGCAAAAATGACGGCCGCGACGCCCCCTCGCGAACCGAGAACGGCCAATTCCTTAATCGACGTGTCAGGGCAGGAGGTCTATGCACCTCAGAGTGCTTCGGCGGCCCTGCGGGAGGGCTCCGGGCTCCAGGCGCAGAGGCGCCAGCTAGTTGCCCGCCAGCGCTCTGAATGGGGGGACGAGCTGGGGCGCAACCCTCCGGGCCCGCATCTCAAGCTCCAACATCAGAAGAACTTCCCAGCCTTCGGGTGTTCCCCCGCGAGAATATTGTCGAGAGCGTCCTGAAGACCTGTCTCCAACCTTTTCATGCAGCGAGCTTGAGGAGGCGGAGGGAAGGGGGGTTATCCGATGCCCTTCCTCCACATCCTCATTCTCATCCTCAGCATCACCATCCTCATCGTCATCGTCGTAATCGTCGTCATCGTCGTCGTCGCCGTCGTCATCGTCGTCGTCCCCTTGTCATCGTCCGCTCCTTCCTTGCTTCTTTCCTGCCGCCTCCCTGTTCCTCCTCATCCTCCTCGCGCCGCGATCCTCGTGCTCCTCCTCCTCCTCCTCCTCCTCCTCCTCCTCCTCCTTCCCTCTGTTTTTCTCCACATCCTCAGTGGGTTGTCCCAGAACATCCTCTCCTTCTCCCTCCCGCCTCCCGCCTCCCATATCAATACCACGCCTACCATTCCAGCCTCCCATGTCATACCATGCCTACCATTTCATACCATACCATACCTACCATACCATACCATACCATACCATACCATACCATACCATACCATACCATACCATACCATACCATACCATACCACACACTACCAAACAATACCATACCATACCATACCTACCATGCCATACCACACCATACCGCACCATACATACCACACAATGCCGAACAATACCATACCATACCAGCCATACTATATAGCATACGTACCATACCATACCATACCACACCATACTATACCATACCTACCATACAAGACCATACCATACCTACCATACAATAGCATACCTACCATACGACACAACACAATACCACACATACCATACAATACCATACCAAACTACTCATACAATACCATACCATACATACCTTACCATACCATACCCGCAAGAGCGAGCAGGGTATCAGAGCACCACGCTATTTACAAGGTTTCGTGCCCCTCCCTCCCCGCCAAGGAGGCCCCGCCTGAGCGAGGAGGCTATCGGAAACCCATACTATTTACATGGTTTCGTGCCCCTCCCACCCCTCCAGAGAGGCCCGGCCTGAGCGAGTATGGTATCGGAAACCCATATTATTTACATGGTTTCGTGCCCTCCCATCCCTCCATGGAGGCCCCGCCTGAGCGAGTAGGGTATCGGAAACCAATACTATTTACATGGTTTCGTGCCCCTCCCACCCCTCCAGGGAGGCCGTGCCTGAGCGAGGAAGGCATCGGAAACCAATACTATTTACAAGGTTTCGCGCCCCTCCCACCCCTCCATGGATGCCCCGCCTGAACGAGGAGGGTATCGGAAACCCATACTATTTACTTACATGGTTTCGTGCCCTTCCCACCTCTCCAAGGGGACCCCGTCTGAGCGAGCAGGGTATCGGAAACCCGTACTATTTACATGGTTTCGTGCCCTCCCACCCCTCCAGGGAGGCCCCGTCTGAGCGAGCAGGGTATCGGAAACCCATACTATTTACATGGTTTCGTGCCCCTCCCACCCCTCCAGGGAGGCCGTGCCTGAGCGAGGAAGCTATCGGAAACCAGTACTATTTACAAGGTTTCGCGCCCCTCCCACCCCTCCATGGATGCCCCGCCTGAACGAGGAGGGTATCGGAAACCCATACGATTTACTTACATGGTTTCGTGCCCTTCCCACCTCTCCAAGGGGACCCCGTCTGAGCGAGCAGGGTATCGGAAACCCGTACTATTTACATGGTTTCGTGCTCCTCCCACTCCTCCAGGGAGGTCCCGCCTGAGCGAGCAGGGTATCGGAAACCCATACTATTTACATGGTTTCGTGCCCCTCCCACCCCTCCAGGGAGGGAAGCCCCGTCTGAGCGAGGAGGGTATCGGAAACCCATATTATTTACATGGTTTCGCGCCCCTCCCTCCCCTCCAGGGAGGCCCCGAGCGAGGAGGGTATCGGAAACCAATACTATTTACAAGGTTTCGCGCCCCTTTCCACCCCTCCAAGGAGGCCCCGCCTGAGCGAGGAGGGTATCGGAAACCCATACTATTTACATGGTTTCGTGTTCCCCCACCCCTCAAGGGAGGCCCCGCCTGAGCGAAGAGAGTATCGGAAACCAATACTATTCACAAGGTTTCGTGCCCCTCCCATCCCTCCATGGAGGCCCCGCCTGAGCGAGCAGGGTATCGGAAACCCGTACGATTTACTTACATGGTTTCGTGCCCTTCCCACCTCTCCAATGAGGTCCCGCCTGAGCGAGCAGGGTATCGGAAACCCATACTATTTACATGGTGTCGTGCCCCTCCCACCCCTCCAGGGAGGCCCCGCCTGAGCGAGGAGGGTATCGGAAACCCATGCAATGTAGATGATGTCGTGCCCCTCCCACCCCTCCAGGGAGGCCCCGTCTGAGCGAGGAGGGTATCGGACACCCATGCTATTTACATGGGTTCGTGCCCCTCCCACTAACATGGGTGAGGAGGGGGGGAACATTACCTGTCCATCTCACGTCCTACACTTCCCAGTGAGGAGGGTGAGGAGGAGGGGGAGTTCTGCGATGAGGAAGGCTTCATCATGATGATGGTGATGACGATGGTTATGCTGCTGTTCACGATGACGATGACGATGGCGATAATGGTGATGGACGATGACGATAACTGCGATTATGATGATGATGATGATGATGATGATGATGATGATGATGATGATGCTGATGATGACGACGATGATGATGATTATGATGACGACGATGACGATGATGATCACGACGACGACGACGAGGATGATGATGCAGATGCTGGTGATGATGACGATGCTGCTGCTGATGCTGACGTTGCTGGTGCTGTTGATGATGATGATGTCGACGATGATGATAACCATGATGACGTCCACGATGATGCGGACGGTGATGAAGCCAAGGACGGTGATGGTAATGATGATGACGATGATGAGAAAGCTGATGGTGACGATGATGGCGACGACGATGATGATGATGACGATGACGTTGACGATGATGATGATGATGCTGATGATGTTGGTAAGGATGATGATGAGAATGATGATGGTTATGATGTTGCCGATGATGCTGACGATGATGATGATGATGATGATGACGATGATACTGATGGTGATGACGATGACACTGCTGCTGCTCTCCACCATCATCCATCTGATCCTTTTCCTCCTCCTCCACCTCCAGGAGGGTATCGGAAAACAATGCAGTTTACACGGCTTCGCGTCCCCCCATCCAGTCCTCCAGAGAGGCCGCGCTTGAACGAGAGGGGACGCGGAAAGCATTACTCTTTACCAGGTTTCGTAGCACCCCCCCCCTTCCAGCGAGGCCCCGCCAGAGCTAGGAGGGTATCAAGAAACCGTTTTTTTTTTCCAGCGCAATTTTGGAGAAGGGGGAGGAAGAGGCGAGAGTGAGACAACGCACACGCCAGCTTGCTGTCCATCTCGCATATCGTGCCGGGGAGTCCGGGGGCCACGCCACCCTCAGTCGCAAACAGCACAACAAGACGTGATGAGGGTCAGGTCCGCTTCCCCTCAAGGGGGCTATCACCGCACCCATCGAAAGCCGCAGCGAATGGCGTTGAAACTCCATAGCTGTAGATATCGAAGGTGGCCGGCCGGGTAAACGTCACCACATTCAGGGAGGAGGAGGAGGAGGAGGAGGAGGAGGACGACGAGAGGCAGGAGGAGAAAGAAGAGGAGGCACTGAAAGACGCCTCAGGCGAACTGGGAAATATCAAACGCGCCAGTTCGGGTTACGAAGGCGTGCAATTGGAGCCCGGACCAAATAAAACGCACCGCTCCTGAATGAAACCGCCAACGGCTGCCGATAATCCGACCAACAGCTGAGCCTGCGTTCATTGCAAAGCCGCCCTGATTGCTATCGAACCAGAGGGGGGGAGAGGAAGGGGAGGACAAGGAGGGGGAGAGGGGAACAAAACAAAATTGTCAGGGCGCGGTGCCGCGAGATATACTGATATAAACCGCCCTCGGTTTTTATCGAGTCGAAGGCGCAATGGTAGCGCTAAGTTGTACATATCGTGAAGCGGGAGCGGGAGGAGGAGGAGGAGGAGGAGGAGGAGGAGGAGGAGGAGGAAGGCACACCGCTGCGCGCGGGCACGGGGCGGCTCCTCTGAGAGGGCGGCCGGCGATTCCAGGCGGCCCGGTTATGGCCTCCCTTCCTATGCAACCGGCGCGAACGCCAATTAACGGCACGGCGCGCACACCCCAAGGGCGCGCACCGTAACTCGCCCATTTAGGGGGATGAGAAAGACAAAGAGAGCCAGGAGGAAGGAAATGCGTTTTGAAAGCAACCCTTATGGTTGCCCTGGAGGCGGCAAAGACCATGCATGACCACGTGCCCTCCCCGCCTGCTCAGGGGCGTGCTACATTCACGCTCATACGGATGACATGCAACACTGCGGCCGGAGATACCCACAAAAGCGGGGGGGAAAGAGGGAGGCGAGGAGGAAGGGGAAAACGGCGAAGTGCCACTGCCGGCACGGGACATGACTGCACGATATTCCGCCCCCGGCCACGATGCACAGGTGGACTCTGAGAGTGTGCACTATCGGCCACGCGGCCGGGACAGGCGAAACACAAAAATCGAAGACGAAGCCCTGAGTTTCGGCCACGCTCGGAAGACAGAGCGAGAGGCCTGCGTGGGCATGCATCTGCGCACTGCCCGCTGCCTCGGATGCCACCCCCCCGCAGAGGGGGCCACAAACCTGGGGAAGGCAAG